CGGGGCCTGTAAGCCCTAAGTTTTAGGCTTCAGTCTGGCAACCGTTTTAGGGCCTGTAGGGCCTGAATTCGGTTGTCAGGCTGAAATGTCTCCGGGGCCTGTAAGCCCTAAGTTTTAGGCTTTTAGGCTGACTGTCTGGGACGGGCCCTGTAGGGCCCGTGTGGCTACGCAGTATGCCACAGTTACCTTCAATTGAAGGCCAAATAACTCATGGAGTTTCATATAATGCAACTTCTCATGTAATTGTTTTGTTTCTGTCTGTATGTCAATCAATTGTTGACATTCATTTCAAGTTTTTCATATTTCGTGAATTTTTTCCGCGATCTTTATATTTAGCATCGACATCACAAATAAAAATAGAACAGCGATAGCTCCTACATGTCATAAACAACTAGAAAAATAATAGCAAAAAAATCAAGATTCAAGACCTAATAACACAAATAAACCTGAAGTATTACAAAGTACTAAAATGAGAAACAAAATGGAATGAACTGGGTTTCTAGTCCGGATAACCATAACAGCAGAAACCAAAGTGGTGCTTGAAAAAATAGAAAAAAGTATCATCACAGTGATTGATCTTTCTCTAGCACAAAGTGTGGGCAAAGGATGCACAAAGTAGGTACGAACTATGCATAAGGCATGGATAACAAATAGACGAAGCATTTGACAAACTTTAGGTCAGCATTGCCTACGCACAAGAACAAGGACGTGAAAATAAAAATAAAAAAATGTTGAATTTCATATGCGCTGCTTGTAAAAAAAAGGGACATCATCTCTGAATCCAAGGATGTAACTTAGGTACACTTCATACTTCCTTGCAAAGTATGCACAAGGTATGGACAAGGTATGTAGTACTATGCCCTGAGCATGGTGAAAGTATCTGCAATGGACAGACTTCATGTCGGTGTAGCTCAAGTGCAACTGGGTTTTTAAAATCTCTTCCATGTTACTTGGGTAAAACACCCGCACACAAAGTGGGTACCGTGCTCAGGCACAGAAGTGCAAAAACTTCGAATCACTGACGCCTTAGAACAGAATAGTCCCAAAATACTTCAATTACTCGCGATCTGGGTGAAAAGCACGAAGACAGGCTGAAATATCATTCCAATATGTGAAAAACCTGCACAAACTTCCACAAAGTACAACAATTTTTATGATTGCAGGGGACACAAAATATGGACAACGTCCTTTGCGGCATCCGTTAAAATTGGAACGATACAGAGAAGATTGGTATGGTCCCTGGGCAAGGATGACACGTATAAATCGAGAAATGGTCCAAAAAATAAAATAAAAAAATGGACAACGCACTTCTATTCCCTGCAGTTGGCACAAGGAAACCAAACCCCCTTCAGTTTCATGCACGACTGCCATCCGGACATCCATACAGATGTCCAGATGGTCTCTCCATGGTACGGAATCTGGATGTGGTAATATATTTAAATTTAAAAGGGAAAATTGTTGAAATACTCTTAAAAGTTGGGGTATTTTGTCAGATACCCCTAAAACACAGGGGTACGACAAAATGCCCTGGATTTTTCTTTTGCCCGTCCTGTCCATGGGCAACTTTGCCATATGCCCTTGGCCGTGGACTGGAGAGGCCAACACACCATTTTTTCCATCCGCCTCTCTACCAGGCTGGCATCTTTTCTGCCTGCCCCAGATCCAACTTGGCGCCGTCCCAATTCGAACGTTGAAAGTTATGTGTTTTCCTGCTGGGGTGTTGCAGTGCACGTTTCGCTCATAGTGTGTCACCCTGGCCGCCGAAAACATCGCTTGTGTACATTTGTTATCAGGGGGTGTTGTGCTCGGGGAGAAGACAGTAGTGTGCCCCCTACCGTCCTCCATCCCAACACAACGCACCCTGATAACAAATGTACACAAGCAATCTTGCCGGTCCGGTATAGCCATAATGAGGGTACGTTGTGTGCGGGGAAGGCGGTAATTGGGGGGGGAGGGGGAAGAGCGCGAGTCAGCGCGCGCGCGTGCGAGAGAGAGAGAGAGAGAGAGAGAGAGAGAGAGAGAGAGAGAGAGAGAGAGAGAGAGAGAGAGAGAGAGAGAGAGAGAGA